CTACATTTAGAAGTGGCAGAACGGATCTAATAGCCCAAGAATTCCCATTTAAAATATAAAACAAAGCCTCCACAACTGCAATTTTGGGGATCGCAGTCACATATAAATATTGATTATATATTTTAAAAATCTTAAAAGTGTGACAAAACGCCTCCCATTGTCAGTCTTTTAATTGTCTAGGTTGGCACCAAATAAGCATGACCATAGTTGTTTCGGTTTGTTTGAAAACTACTGAAAAATGTAAATAACCATTGATCTTAGAATAAATAGTTGAATGTGACATTTGCTTTTGTTTTAAACATCTTGAAGTGAGAGGAAGAACAACACGACATTAAAAGCACAATCTATCTTTTGTGTGGTTCTTTTCCAGTGACTTTTTAAAAACATTGCTCTTATTCCAGAAGATAACAAGAAGCTGTGTTTGGCTGGTTTGATCAGTGAAATGAGAGGCGAGAGAGAATATTTGCTTTTAAAATTGCTCTTTAATCTGGCTGTCCTAGACCCAAGAGCTGTATCAGCTTCACAGAGTCTTGTTAGACTGGCTTATTTCTTGCAAACAAATTATATATTTCTTTGTAAATGCAAGAAGCTCATCTAAGCATTCATATTAAAATTAGTGGCTTTCTGTGCAAAAGTTTCCTTTCTTATCCAGGAGTAAAAATGCAAGTGGAGGTAAAATAAAAAACCAATGCGCATTTTAGTCACAAATTTGTTCTGTTTTGGTAACTCTTTGCATCTGGTCTAAGGGAACAAGTGATAAGTCACTTCAAGACTCACATTAGACCCCTTAGCAAGGCTCACTGCAGCTCTTAAAAAAATGTAAAAAACCAATAACACTGCACAACTCATTAGTAGCTTCTGATTCAGAAGGAACAAATACAGATCCAGAGTCAAATGAGGTCCAAAAAAGGATTTGAATTCAACAGTGGTTTTGGTTTAGATCTAGGTTAAGCACCCTTCAAACATTTAGCTTTAATCCCGAGTGGAAAAGTCTGGACACTCTGATTAAAATATACTGTATGGAACACTGGCTTTGCCCAGAAAAGTTGCCCCATCCCTACAAGTTCAAGGCCAGGTTGGATGGGGCTTTGAGCAACCTGGTCTAGTGAAAAGGTGTCCCTGCCCATGGCAGCAGGGTTGCAACTAGATTATTTGGTAGGTCCCTTCCAACCCAAACCATTCTATGATTCTATGATTCCATTATTTATTGCCTCAATCGCAGAAGACCTACTCAAGTACTCTCCACTTCTGTATTAATCATGAATCTCAACCTGTCATGCCTATTGCCTGTTTTGAAAGTTGCCAAGACCTTAGCCTTTAAAATGCTTATTCTTCTCAAGAGAAGACTGCTGAAGTCTCTCCCCAGTCTGTAATGATAATAGCAGTGTTAACTTTCCTTACTATATTTGAGCAGATGTCTAACCAAATCACAGAATCACATAATCATAAAATGGGTCAGGCTGAAGGGGACTAAATGGATCATCTAGGTCAACCTCCCTGCTCAAGTGGGGTCATGCAAGAACACATGGCACAAGATTGTGTCCAGATGGTTCTTGAATATCTCCAGTGACGGAGACTCCACAATATCTCTGGGCAATCCGTTCCAGTGCATTGTCATCCACAAAGAAGTTTGTGGAGGACTGTCTCCTCTGATAGGGATCTCATGCTGGAGCAGGGGAAGGACTCTTCTTCCTGAGCAGTGGCAGGAACGTGATGAACTGATGACTATAAGCACCATTCCCCGTCTCCCTGCACCGCAGTGGTGGGGGGAGGAGATAGAGCTTGGGACAGAGGGAGTGGTGGGGGGAAGGTGTTTTTAAGACTTATTTTACTTCTCGTTATCCTCCTCTGACTTTGTTGGTAATAAATTCAAGTAATATCCCCAAGTTGAGTCTATTTTGCCCATGACAGTAACCAGTGAGTGACCTTTCCCAGCCCTTAACTCATGAACCTTAAGTTATATTTTCTCTCCCCTGTCCACTTGTGNCCTTAACTCATGAACCTTAAGTTATATTTTCTCTCCCCTGTCCACTTGTGTAGGAGAGTGATAAGAGTAGCTTTGGTGGGTGCCTGACATCCAGCAAGGGTCAACCCATTACAACTGTCTTGTCTCAGTCCATGAGTTTTCTCACTTTTACACTTCTGATTCTCTCCCTGATCCCACCGGGGGGAGTAAGCAACCATGTGGGGCTTATTTTTTAGCTGGGGTTAAAGCACAACACCAGGTCACAAACCCAGGACCACCCTTTTTGATCCAAGAAGGTGCATAGTTGCTGTCAGTTACACTCTCCATCCAAATTCACATCAATGAACTGTAAAATGATGAAGGTTCACATAGTAACTGGTTTTTCCCTTTTGCATAAATCTTCTAATGTCAGTACCTCCTCTTTCTGTGGGTAATCTTTTGAAGTTCCTCTAAGATACTATCTAGGCTACACACAATGAAAAGCAAGTTTCAAAAGCAAGTAAAGTAAAAGGCATGAGGTGTGTCACTTCCCCTTCCCTCTCAAGCCCTCTTCTTTTCTGAAAGTTGTTCCAAATAATTTTCCCTCCACTTAGGCCTGACATTCAAAATGTTGAACACGAATATATTCACCACAATGACAGGACTTTACTTTTCGTTAGACATTTGCTTTTATGGACTCTCAGAAAGGCCTCAGGAAACCTCAAAATATTTATATATTGGATAATCTAAACTTTTAATGGTTATCCAAACTGATTTGAACAGTTAGATGTTTCAAGCTCAAACAGCCAATACAATATCTGATTAGTAGTGCTCAGCAAGTAGATAAAGATTTCTTCTCAGGAAGAGCTGTTCAAACATTTTAAAAAATCTGCTGTAGCCATTCTATTCTATTTATTGAGTTCACTTTCAGCTCCACATTTAAATGACTATATTTCATTAGAGCAAAGAAAAATGAAGAATATGGATACTCACAATCAATGACATAGTATTCATGCGTACAACTAATCAAACTCGCATATATTAAGCAAAAAATGGTGTGAAAGACTGTAGCCAAAAATTAAAAACATAAACACATAAAGATGTAATACACTTGCGGGTTGCCTAGAAGCAGAATACAAAGTAAATTGGATAAATCATTCGTTACAAATTAGCTTTTCATCTGTAGGATTAAGTGTGAAAGAACAACAGTTACACACGACATTTGTTGCTGGTCAACAAATAGATCCACTTGCTTTTAGTATCCAGTCAGACATATGATTTATTATATGATCTATTTGGGAAGAAAAACTGTGTTGATTACTTCCTGTCAAAATAAAACCATTTTCTCTTAAAACATAATATAGATATATGACCATGAACTTTTCCTTGTACCTGCATAGCATCGGAGTTTTAATTATCTCAGTCCATAAGATACCAAAATGATTTAGATTGCATTTAAAAACTTTTATAAAACGAAAAGAGATTTTCATTGCAAACTGGTGCATGATAGCAATCCCATATATTCCTAGACATCGAATATAGATGTTAAAAGGACACAGGAGATGAAAGGATCTCAAAAACATGTGAATTTGCCTTACAAGGCAGTATGTGTTTTGTGGCTATCTAAGAAGGGGAAATAGAAACATAAACACATTTGTTTGGTTTTATTTGATTAATGTATTATAAACTAAAATGACTTTTTTAATTGTGTGAATATTTTGTAATTCTAAGAGTGTTAGCATTTCAAAATAATATTGAACTGGCTGAATGCCTTCCTAACCTTGACAATCCTTCCTTAATTTTTCCTCTTGCTTTCCATATATTTACCATCCAGGAAAAGTGTAAGAAATGTTCCCTAACAACTGCTTAATACTCTAGGACATCTACTAATACTGTAAAAGAAAAAAAAAAATACTCCATTTATAAGATTAATCTTACATTACAAGGGTTCTGTTTTGACATTTTTCACTCATGGATTAGGAAAGTATGTGTATTTGCACAGAAAGGAACGTCTCATACATTTCGATACTAACAGATAATATACTGTCTATCAAAGAAGGGTATACTTTTGAAAGTCTTTTTCTTAGCAGGACTTCTATCTCATTTAATGATGGAAACTGTGTTGAGGTAAATAATACCAGAGTGACTTTTTCCGCCTCCTTTTTTGCTGCTCTTGCTGAGTTGTGACTCTTGGCATCAACAGAATGTGCATCCCTGTTTTGAAATGGCCATGATCTAATCTCTATGCTACAAATACACATGGTTGAGTAAAGCTTTAATAACAAAGATTAATTTCTGTTTCATTTTCCTTTCTTCTGTACTAGGAGAACCATTAATTGAATAAAACTGCGTCTTCTCCTAGAGACAGGATAGATGGGATGTTCATCTTACTCTTGGACTTGACATAGCTGGAAAAATTCAGACCTGCTATTTGATAGTACTTTCTCCTCTATTTGGATATCTGTTGTTATGGTGATAGTTCCAGGTAGAAACATTCATGAGGATGACTTGAAAGCTTTGATGTGTACAGTACAATTATTTTTAACACCTTATAAGATAATGTGACAGCACTGCTCCTTGCTAAAGATGCACCATTGTATCAGCTTTCATGAAAACTACCTGAATTTCTATTTGTTGTGTATCTGTAAAACAATGTTGAATACAAATATATAATAAAAAGGATCTGGAAGAACATCCCACCCCCATTTTCTCAAAAAGGATATAATTTGTTATTCCTAGGAACTTGCCTACAGTAACAACTGACTTTTAGTACAAAATATAAATTTTATAATATCTGTATTGCTCTTTTGTAACACCCTGAGAACTACCCAGCATGATCTCTTGTACCCAAAACTAAGCTGTAAACGAATCTACAAACTCATATCACCAAGCACAAGATTGCAGACATATTGCATTGCCCAGACTGTTGTTCAACTGCAAGGGGTAAGCACTAGAGATAGAGGAATTATTGGCCTGAAGTATTTAATCTCAGCAGTACTTGATGTTCATCACAGAGCTTGGCTCACACACGTTCTGAATGAAAGCAGTTACTTACATAGTCCTCGTAGGCCTCGTGTGCAGGTGGCGGGGGTGGTCTGTAACCCGGGACAGACGGGGCGCCCCTGGCTCGAGGGGTGGGAACGCCCCTTGCCACTGGTGGCACAGGGAGGGCTCCACGGGTCACTGGCGCTCCTCTGGGTGCTTGGGCACCTCGTCCAGGCAGGGGTGGAGGAATTGCACCCCCACGACCCCTGTGGGGAGCAAACAGGAATGATCACTTTGGCGTGTACGGCAAGAGAGGACATGTCCATGCTACCCCATTTTAAAGGCTCTTACATTCTACTATTTAAAGCATCATATAACTGCGGGATTTTGGCAGTTACAATGTCAAGCGCTTTCAGGCAATACCTTGGTCAGAACTCCTATTATGGAAAGGCATTATTTTTAAGCCACCCAGTGCCTTTTATACCTGATCCTCTTGTTGCTTGTACTAGTGAAATTCTGAATCATTCTAATTCACAGAGTTGCAGAATTATGCTAAAGTAGTTCTAGAGAATGAAGAAAATGAGGAACTTTTTCTGTTGCTCTCAAACTACTTTACAAGAGCAGCCATCACTCTCATTCTCATGTTTATTAGGGGGCGGGAGAAACAGACTGGCAGAAGATGTTGCAGGACGGCAGAAACTTGCAAGGCAAAGTAGAGGAAGAGTATAAAAGGAGAGCAGTAACTTTCCTTCCTATCTAATTTAGTTCAGCACAAACGAAAGGCAGCGTGGGATTCTGCTTTCCCCTACTGCACAGAGAGAATAGAGCATATAAACAAGCAGGGAAAGAGTTTTAGTGTCTTTCTGGCTATTTATGCTATACCTGCCTCACTGTACTAATTAGTAAGTCAGAAGAAGCTGTTACTGTTTACAAAAAGGTTCTTGTAACTATACCATATAATGAATTAGAAGTGGAATATATCAGGGAAGCAGTCTGGATGGGTTTTGTTTCAGAGTAGCATGCTCCCAAATGTGCTGCCCTTTCTGAAGACCGAGAGTGCCAGGCATAACCGTGTGTGAAACCCAGATCCAGAGCTGTGGCTCTTTCCCTGCTGAGACAACCAAACACAGAGCACTAGCTTGTGATGTTCACTACTTTACTACAAGTTTCAGTAGCCAATTTTAGACTTACACAATCACTGAATGGTTTGAGATGGAAAGGACCTTTGGAGATCCTCTAGTCTAAACACCCTGCCTTGGGCAGGGACATCTTTCACTGGATCAAATTGTGCAAAGACGTGTCCAACTTGACCTTGAAAATTTCCAGTGATGGGGCATCTACAACTTCTTTGGGAAATGCGTTCCAGTGTTCCACCACTCTCATTGAAAACAATGTGTTCCGTATGTCCAACCTCTTTCAATTTAAGACTCGTAAAAAGCCTCTCTCTGTCTTATAAGCCCTCTTTACATATATGGAATGGCTGCAATGAGGTGTCCCCAGGGCCTTCTCTTCAACATGCTGAACAACCCCATTTTTCCAGCTTAACTTCACAGGAGAGGCACTCCAGTCCTCTGATGATTTTTGTGGCCTTCCTCTGGACCTGCTTCAACATGCCTTTCTTGTGCTGAGGACACCAGAGATGGATGCAGCACTCCAGGTGGGGTCTCACAAGGGCAGAGTAGAAGGGCAGAATCACCACCCTTGACCTGCTGGATATGCTGCTTTTGATGTAGCCCAGGATACGTTTGGCCTTCTGGGCTGCGAGTGCACATTGCTGGAACTTGTCCAGCTTTCCACCTTCCATCCCCAAGTCCTTCTCTGCAGGGCTGCTCCCAATCCCCTCACTCCTCAGTCTGTGCTGACACTGGTGATTACCCACATGCAGGACCTTGCACTTGGCCTTGTTGAACTTTATGAGGTTCACACAGGCCCACTTCTCAAACCTGTATTGGTCCCTCTGGACAGCATCCTTCCGTCAAGCATGTGAAGCGTATCAACCACACTACCATAATTACCATAAATATTTTTTAATAAAATAAAAATTTGTTTTTTAATACCATAAATACCATAAAATAAATACCATAAAATTTGTTTTTTTAATATTCCCCTGGGATTTTTGACTGGAAAATAGGGAAAGCATCCAACATCATAGGATTTGTGCAACCGATTCAATCAGTAGGGTATTTTGCAGGAATTGGGGGCCAGCACTCCACTGATTATCCTTTGAACATAATTTAAAAGCTGCCAGTTTGTTGCAGTGATGTTCTGAACATCATTATTAAGTTCCAGAGATTTTAGCTGTAAGGAAGACTAAGCCCAAAAAGACTTTGAGTGGAAGATGGTCATGAATGGCAACTGTAAAAACTTCTACGTATGTGCATCATACTACTAATAAAAAAATCCATGCAGGAAGAAATGACAGAAAACATGGTAGACTTCTTTAGGGAAAAAAACTAAACCCAAAGGTCATAGGCAAGATCAGCCTGTTCAACTGCCAAAGAACTCCTATGTCAGCATACCATAAGGTACTTCCATATCCTATTTCCTCCAAAACAAAAGTCAGTTTTTTAGGACCAATCCTGAAATTACCCCTATGGAGAGAAGACTAGAAGTAGCTTGGTAACTTAGATGCCTAAGGCAACAAATTTCTTAAGGATTCACAGTGAAAAATAAGTCTGAAAGAGTGCATTTATATTTTACACTGGCTTTATGAACAAGCAGAGATATCTGTTATCTAGATATGAAAAAATACTTGGAAGAATTCAGGAAGCATTCATATACCAATGTTTTTAGATTACGCCAATCAAATTCATGTAAAACCAATGACCAATCAACAAATATGTAATATAATATATATTATTTTTTATATATAAACTGTAATATGTATAAAAAAGTAATTATTTGGCAAATAAAGTTCCATTCAGATTATGTAGTCTTCTCAGACTGTACTATTTTTTGGCCAATGATTTTATGCTACTGACCATACTGGTACATTGCTAGCATAACAATATTCTTTTCTAGAAATATCCTTTCATTGTCTTCATAATCTGCTCTCATTGTTTATTACTTGTATACTATCCACTGTAGCCTGTGAACTGTAGACCAGAGAACATGGCACAACACAGATGACACAAGTTATCAAAAGACAAATATTTTGGTTTACTGACCAGTATGTGCATGTGATTTTGGTTTTTTTTTTAAACTATGTTTTTTTACTATTGCTTACACTTTCTAAAGCTATTAGCATAATAGCTCAAGTTACCACACCTTGAAGGAGCTGCAGGTGGCACACGGATCCCTCTTCCTCGAATGCCCCGTCCACGTGATGAGTCCTCAGAACCATTCAAATATGACAGTTCTCTCAGCTGCTCCTGGCGAATTTCATCATTATAATCCTGAAATGCAAAAGGTGAAACTTGCTGAAACTTTGTATTTTGGCTGAGCTGTCAAACCACTCAAAACAGAAATTCCATGGATAGTACTTGGGTGACTTGTTCTGCATTATCATTGGTATGCTGAAAAATTGTACAGTGGGAGTGGACAACTACCTAAAATATGTGGGCAGAAAAATGTATATGGGTAGTGAAGGTGATCATAAAGAGCATGAACATGCAAAATAAAACACACAAGGCATAGAACATGTAAACATAAAGAAATATATCTATATGCAAAATGTAAATGGACTTTCACATACAAAAGGTACTGTTCTCAAAAAACTCGTAATTAGATAAAAAAATTCATTTTATAAATGTTTTATATTTTTGGCAAACTTTCCTGGCTACCTTTATGGACTTAAAACATAAATTCCATCTTATATTGCATCTTAGCATAACTGGATGATTTAATACAATACCAATTAGCATCATTGAATGTAGCCTTCAGTTATTTTGTATATCCTGAAAGGAACTCTTGCTTTAGGACTCAAGTATTAAATGAAATAAAATAGGCCCTTTCTAAGTCAGCAGGGTATCAACTCCAGCACTGTAACTGATGGCTCAGTAAATATCAGATGAACTTCCTTTTCTTACTGATACAAAATAGAATCACAGACTCACACAATGGTTTGGGTTGGAAGGGACCTTAAAGATCTAATTCCAACCTCTCTGACACGGACACCGGTGGAAAAAATCCCTCACTCAGCATCATTTTTGATGAATGAATTCAAGTGGGACAGAGTTTTGTCCAGGAAGAATTCTCTGTAACTTTATTACTCCATACCTATATACAGACTCTCTACTGACCCTGGATCTGAGTTATCCAGCCAGGAAGATGTTACTTATCTGCACACATACCATACAGCCACCCTTGTGGCTGCCTTCGGCCACGAAGAACAGTCATGCTTCAAGTGGCTTTCCAGCTTGACCTTGTGATTCTTTTCCCATACATACTAATCTTAGCTCTGGCTCTCTCAGGACCATAATATTTATGCTTTAACATTTTCTTCTTCTTCTATCATCCAGATGGCTGGTGTTGTCTTGTTTAGCTGCTCCTACAGACACCTTGTTGACTTCTTCTTTGTTGGAATGCATGTTTGGAAGAGGAGATCCTTGAAATTAATCAGCTCTCTTGGGCCCCTGTCTCTCCAGGCCTCTATCCCACCAAGTAGCTTTCTGAAGAGGCCAAAGTCTGCTCTTCTCAAGTCCAGGGTAGAGCTTGCTGCGCATCCTCCTTGCTGCCCTAAGGAGCAAGATCTTGAACTCTACTATTTCATGGTCACTGCAGCCAAGGCTATCCTGGAGCTTCACATTCCCCACAGCCCCTCCTTGTTGTTGAGGACAAGGTCCAGCATAGCATCTCTCCCTAATGGCCCCTCTAGCATTTGGAAAAGGAAGCTATCCTCAATGCATTCCAGGAAACAATGTGCCCTGCCTGTTGTCCCTCCAGATATCAGGGAGTTTGAAGTCCCCCATAAGGATCAGGGCTTCTGAACGAGAAGCTGTTCCTCTCTGTCTATGGAGTGTTTCATCCACTATAATACATAATGAGGAATTTTTACTTATTTTACAACCTTTGTCTCAGTCAGAAGTTCCTTTTTCTTTAGCTTCCTTCATTTGTATTCAGCTCTTTGCAGGCTGATCACAGTACTAAGAGTCCACTGCAGTAGCCAGCTTGCTGGCAGCATAACCACGTGACAGCTAATTACTGCTTCAAAACAGAATGAATTTCAGCCCTTCAGTCCTTCCATCCTTCCACAGGCAAGTGCCATTGGCTGTCATGTAAGGGTCTGAAAATGCTACTTCTTGGGTGAGTGACCATCCAGGGCACATTACAAGTGACACCTCTTTTAGCCAAGTTAAAAACCAAGCCAACAGGGAGATGGAACTGTGGCCTTACTTGTTCCCTTCTAGAGAGTGTAACTGGAGTAAAAACTATTAATGAAATTCAGAAAAGAGCCCCATTTATACAATAAAGTTTGTGATAATTGCAGCACAACCATAATTAAAACCAAATCCCTAATTTTCTAATAAAGTACATAATGGCTTTCAGTTCGCACCATCCCCAAATCTTTTTGCACATTTTTCTATCGTTCTAATGTTAATGGCAATAAGCAAAGACATCTTCCTAAGTCAGTGTGATCTGTAAAACACAGAGGGGAAAAACACAGATAGAATCAATGAAATCGCATTTGCAGAATTGTTGGACCAGGTACTATCTACTGCACCCCGCTTAATATCATCTGTTATTCACATTGGGTTTCCAAGGATTAGGACTTCAAACTTGCTGTTTGAGTTTACCCTTCAGATTCCACACCAGTGCTGGGACTGAACTTCATTAATAATGCAAGTACATTTTGATTGAGTAAGAAGTAGGCAGAAAAAAAAAAAAAAAAGAGAAAGGACCTGCAAGGGACAGAAACTGGAGTTTCTGTGTTGTTGTGTTAACCTCTCCTTTGGAATATTGCTGTATAAATGGATTCTACCAGAAATTGCCTCAAAGCTGCTATTCCTTCCTCAGGTAAAAATATAATTTAAAATCATAGTATTGATGAAACAGAAAATCCAAATTAAATTTATAATACACAACAAGATCTGGAAATCTTCACCATGCTGTTATGCAATGGCATAATAGGTTATTTAGAGTACAGGTTATTTTACTGCATGTCCAATGAAGAAATAGGTACAATGTATTTTGAAATGGCAAGATAAAGACAACAAAGTACACGGAAGATGCTGGGTCAGATATCTTGAAAGAGAAAGACTTCAATTAAAAAAAATAATTCTATATAAATAATTTATCTTATGTTCCCCTTAAAAATAATAATTAGGATCATAATTTCTAAACCTTAAACCTGAAATTAGCAGAAATGCTAATTTCAACTCTTTCATTAAACAGAAACATAACACTGAATTAATCTTTCATAACTGCTATGAGTATAGCTACAGAGTGTCTATTTAACTGTAGCTGAGTTCAGAGCCTAGCACAGGAGCAAAATTATGTTACTGATGTTTCATATAGATCCAGTCCCAAGAAAGAGCGCATGTGTTGCAAGACATACCTATACTGAAGAAAGCATGAGGAAGTAGCTACACACTGCAGTAGCATATTGCGTTTCAGAAAAAAACCCACCCTACTTCTTATATTAAAATAAGCTCATGAGAAATGTTCTGTACTTTATAGCTTTTCTTATAGCTCTCTAATACTCTTATAACTATTCTTACAGCTGATGTTTTGTTCTTGTTTATATCCTTAAAAACATTATTACCTTTAAACAGCTTTTCCATTTACTGATGATGTGAAGGGTGGCATTGACTCGTATCATGGTGGTCAGTATTTACAAACACTGTGAGCTAACCACCCATGCCCATGACTGTTCACCCAAACACACATCTTGACTTTAGAAATACCAAGGATTTACAATTTCAGCAAAGTCAGTAGCACCCAGGGCCACCATAAATTTTAATATTTATATAAATGCCTAAAATCCCAAATGACGTATTTAGATAAAACTTTTAGTATTCTAGAGTACATCAATACGTTTACCCTAAATTACCAAAATTATGTTTATTAGCAAAGGTTAGGAGTGATTAATTAGGTTGGTCAGAGTCTGAATGGAGGCAGCTCACCCACAGGCCCTTCTGGCAGCAGTGGCAGGAGATGCAGCAGAGAGGAGAAAGCCTCTAAGCTGCAAGATAACTCAATAAACCATTTTGGTAAAAAAATAGCAAAGTATGATGCAAGCTGCAAAACCTGATCTGAATTAACAAAAACATTGTATTGACAAGGGAGGAGAGTTAATAAAGAAATCAAAGGGTAAGGCATAGACAAACGAAATGGATTTTGGGAATATATATCTATCATTACCATAACAAAGGCTCATAGAAGTCAAGGATAAATCAATCCCTTAAGGACTGTGATCTCCTGTCCTGATGTACTCTGCACATTTAAGTTCTATTATAATTCTATTAATAAATACCATTACTCTTATCTAGGGCAGCTGAATTTCATTCTCACCAGATAGTTAGGGGGAAAGTAATTTAGGTTAAATGCAAACTACCTTAAGAATGCAGTTATACATGTCAAATCTAAAATGATAATACAATTCTTCACACTGACAATTGTGAAGTATGAATAGGGCTTGTTTGGTCCCTTATACAGGTGACATTTCATAGCATATACAGATTCCTCACACAGTTAAGCTAGCCATGTATCATGTGAAGAGCCATTGACTACCCTCCATGTAGTGCTGTTACTACTAGGACAGATTTATGGCTATCTTAATTTTACAAACAACTACATATTAACACCTCGTATCTGAGTCATCGAAGTCCTTGATTTTAACTGAATAAAAAAGAAGTAAAAAAAAAACCTTTGCTTAGAGTTATTTTCTTTATAACTATTAAAGTGCTGCCTTTGAGCTATTTTCAGGCACCTTAAATTCCAATTAGCCCAAAATTTCCATTAAGTACCTGATTCAGAAAACTCACAGCCAGACAATGGGACAGAAGACCCAGTGAATTTTAGGTAGAGCTAGGTGATGGGAACATGGCCCTTTTGTTTTCGATTTTTTTTTGTTTTGTTTTGGTTTGGTTTGTTTTTCAGATGCGTACTGATTTTGGACACTGAAAGAGATGCTGTCCACATGCTCTCCTGTGTATATGGGGAAGCACCAAGACTGTGAAAATAACTGGCGGTGAGGAATTCCTGGAGTACCCGTTTTGCTGTGTTCTCTGTGGCCCTACAAAGGTGAACTGTACTATAATTCAGCTTCAAAGTATGGTGAGAACCACTCATCTGGACTCATGGAGTCAGGATCTGCAGTTTAGTATACTGAAAAGGCCAAGAATCCCAGAATTCCCACTTTTTAATTGAGTGCTTTAATTTCAGGCTGTTACAAAAAAGAATAGCACTAGCTGCTCAGTACCAGAAGAGCTTGATGAACTAATTCCTGAGTTGA